GGGAGGAACGTGACTGGAAGTATGGGTTAGCCAATCCCTTAAATCACTGAAGCAGCACTGGAGAGTCGAAATCGGTATCTTGGCTGCTATATTCCGCGCACGATTGAGCTCGAATGGCGTTTCTACGATGCTCTATCATCGTGCCTTTGTCTTGTGGCTGCAAACGATAGTCCCCTCAAAGTTAGAACCCAATATTGCCGTCGAAAAGGAAACGAGACTCGAAATACGTGCGTGACTGTCAGAGAATATCGCGCGGAAATGTTTCCTCATGCATTACCTCGACATTCCATAAAAGGTTAAAGGAATTTTCTATTTTGAAAAGAGCGAAAAAGGAATATTGAATAAAATATATTTTATTCTGTATAAAAATAATCACAGCTGCCAATTGATGAACTTTCGTCTTTTAGTCTTTGTTAAACGGCTGACGTATTTCTGTGTAAAGATTTAATAACGATATAACTTTTCGTGATATACGAGTACTGGCAGCTTCTGTGTACCAGTGTACCTCTCTTCCATAAAAGTGGAAGAGGATACTAACGAGACGAAAAGATGAAACGGTTGGTCTTTACGGCGATGTAGTGGGAGGTAAACTAAGCCAGCGTGCTTTAACGACAACGTTCAAGATTTTAATACCTCGTTACGAAGAGTCCGATCTTTCAACTTTTTGCGACGTCTTTAGGGAACTCCTTTGAGGCCCAAGGTTTCCTCGAAAAGCTTGGTAGGGCGATTCATCTTTACAGCGACGAGCAAAATTTCATTAGTTAATTACGTGCCAGAACTTCGCCAAGATTTTCTTCTTAGGATGCTGATCTTCGCTGCGCGACTCGTGTAACTAAAGTCTATATGCACGATGATGTCTCCACAGGCTTGGATGTGCATTATTTCAGGAAAAGTGTCCGATTTCAGAGATCTTCCCATGATTAAAGCCCTTCATTTAATTGGCGCGAGAGCTGTTCGTTTCGTTCCAAGATACAAACGCAAAAGTGATAATGATAGAACGGCGGGGATAAGTATTGATCGCGCTCTGCGGCTGGCCAGTAGTTACGGGCCGGTGCGGTCAAACAGTCGTAATAGAACCGGTCGTGGTTAGCCAGTAGTAAGAGCGTACCTGCGGTCAGACAGTTAGTATCAGGTCCCGCTGCGGTCTGATACGAGCAACTGTTCTACTTCGTCATACTATGCTTCTGTTTTGAAACTTTTGATGGTGTATCGCCAGTGTTATTCCAGCTTGAAAATGCAAATGTATGTATATATATATATACACACACGCGCGCGCGCGCGCCCCTCCTTCACACTTACAATTCAATTCAATTATAAAATTTTAGATAGAGAATAATTTTTTCTTTTATCTTTTGAATATAATACGTATTTTTTGAATAAATTTGTAGTGTTTTTCTTATGTACATTATGTTATTTTTCGCATTTTTAACAAGCATTAGAAGAATAACATAAAAATTTAGACTCGATGCATATCTAATGCAATTCAAGAATATCAAATTGCATATTAATTATTATTACTATTATTATCATATAATATCCGCAATAATAATATATGATAATAATATGAATTGGATGATTGAAAGGATACAGTATGATACAGAAACTACGAAAGCTGCAGTTTCAAAAGCTGTTTGTTGTATCTTTTCAATGGGATGTAGAATAAAGCGGATTAAACGCTCAAGAGTAAATTGATTAAAAGCATAATTATAATATAAAAGTCACACATATAAATAAATTTCTCACCACGAAGAAAAACTGTCTGCCTATTTTTTCATAAGTGAAAACTTTTTTAATTCAACTACAATTTTCCTTAGTTGTGTCTGATTAGAAAAAATTTTGACAGTCTACTATTATTTTTAAATCAATAATTAAAAACAAAAAACGTATTGACAAAAGTTTTATACAATTTTGTTATCTATAATAGTTTTGTGTATGTATATGTGAGTATTTTTGTGTATGTGTGTAGTTAAACTACATAACCGATGCAGATATATACTCTAGTGACCAACACCTAGAGAAGCGAAAGGGGGACATAGAAAAAAATTAATATTAATCATAATCAAATTTTGATAGATAAACACTTTTTGAGACTTGTTAATGAAATATGAACATTATATTATTACATTGGTAAATAAACTAATAACACTTAATTAATAGCATCATATAAGTCACAACCAAAATTAAGTTATGAATCACAAATATGTATATACGTTTTATGTGTTTTAAAATTATATTTTTGTACGCTATGTATTTTACGAATAATTTTTGAATTTTTTAATAAGAAATCGTAAAATTCTTCGCACGTTAAGTTAAAATTAATTTTCACACTTGAGCATTAGATAGATTCTAATGTTTTTATTAATAATTGTATTCTTTCAGGAGTCTATATGTGAGTAATTAAAGAAAAACAATACTTTCCTATGTCCAATGAAGATAGAACGCGTATTAGCGCTGATTAGCGCTAAAAACGCGCTCTCGAATCGCAATTACAGTGATAGCAGATACACTTATTAGATGGCAGTTCAATTGACGCTTGCAACGCCACAATTGCATTTGGGACCTCTTAAAAAGAGAGACAATTTGTGATTACGGTCTTAATTTGGGACAAAATTTGGGACACGTTGTAAAGAGAGACAGAGTTAAAATTTGGAATTGTCTCTCCCAATTTGGAACGGTTGGTCACTAGAATATACACATACATATCTTATTGTGCATAACATAAGATATTTTAAAATCAAATAATAATTTTCATTGTTTGTATATAAATAAAGAGAGTCTGTAATTATTTGCAGACCTTTTTTCTGTGTATGTCTGAGAGAGCTTCAATGATGACATGAATAAAAGATATGAGAGGAGAAATTCACGTAGAAAGTTGCGCCAACGAAGACAAATTGCGTTACAGAATTCTTCAGAGGAAAAATATAAATGATTATGCGCAAAGAGCGAAGAAGAATGAGGCTGGAAATAGAGACGTTTGTAATGCACGGCGATTAATCTCTGTGTTTTTCGGATCAAAGACAGATACCAGCTGTTAAAATATGTTTACCTGTTGTTTATCAAATAATGTCAGTTTACGTTACACAGATCGAAGAAATATTACCGATGTAGTTGCTTTTGTTTATTTAATCGCCTAATTGATAGCGAAACTATATCAATGTCTATTTAACATCGCGAGTGTGATAACGTAATATCGACGCTGCAATACGATGTACTTCATTCCATGAAACAGGAATGCAGGCGCACGCCGTTATGCTTGGAGAAACCGGTTAGAACAAACAAGAAGCTCCTAAGTATACAGCCCTCATACTGTGTATTTCGAGCCGTTGCGTATATCAGAAACTTGCAAACCATGGATGCAGCAGAGAAACAATAAACTTTGTTAGTAAGTAGATATAAATGCGGAAGTGCGGTCCGTATGTTGACTTTTAAGCGAAACTTGAGCATTGCCATTAAAATAAAACTTTTACGAAGTTGATCATTTCATTTTAAATAAGTTCGCACTGTCGGTCGTTTTAATTTGCTATACATATACCTTTGTATAATAAAAATAAATATACAGTCTAACTTGTAATAATAGCTTCGCCATGAGATCTGCGACTTCTATCCTGCGATCGACGTATGCGCGCTTTTTGCTTGATCTAGAGCCAAGGTAGAGACAGGATACGCCTCCGACAACCTATGATCCTTGACACCTGGAAACGAGCCAAGCGCAGGTCCTCCGAGGGCATCGAACTTATGCCGCCGGCAGGCTTCCAAAATTATAGCTCGACTGCGTCAGCAACTACGGTGTTTGTTTTCATCTCGATGTCGCCACGATCCATACTTTTCTATATTCTTCACGCCGTCCTATTTTTTCAGTCTCGTCTACTGTCTCGCAATGGCGAATAATTTCTCAGCAATTAATGAAACCATTCGATGGAACGACTCGATAGGATATCTCTCGTTTCTCACACGCACGTACTTATCAAAAGTCGATATCACTTTTTGCTAACTAACGAGTATAACATCAGTTACTTTAATCTACTCAAAGAAAACGGCGTCCTTCGGTTAGTTGCGGCGAAAAGGGAACGGTCGGAATGGTTCTCTAAAATCCGATTACTTCGGCCGACTTAAGCGGATTTTCGTGGAAACTACGTCACGTTCGCGTTTGAAATCCGTTGTGCTTATAAACAAAAAGATGACAGAATTCATCTTCCAACGTTTCTTTGTATCCGACAACAATGAAATTTGTTCTCTTTCTCAAGTAAGGATGATTTTGTGTAGATGCAGAACGGTCCTTTGATGCAGAAACGCTTTGTAAAACATGGGCGTTTTAATTTTTGCTTTGTTAATGGGTGACATTGTCTTGTAAGATGCACACGAATTGATAATATACACAAAAAGAATGGTTTTTGCTGAAATATCAACAAACTTAGCTAGATACGCATCAGAAAATAATTTTGTTGGATTATCAAAATTATAGACATAAATTAAGACGTTCAAACTATAATTACTAAAGTATAAAAATGTTTTACAGAATTGTCCACACATTTGGATTTCTTCTAATTATTTTAATAGTTCAAGAAGATTATTTTCAGATCTGCCCCTAGCTTTTTTTGGAGACTTTATCAAAATCGTTCTTTCCGTGAACAGTTTAATGATTTAGTCTATTTCATTCTGCAAAAACGTATCGTATGAATTATTTTTGTAGATACATGTATTTTCAATAAAAATGTCAATCATTCTTTAAATGTTATATCAACGGCTTTTAAATAATTCCGTTATTTATGGAATAAATCCGATGTTACACTTCTCTTTCATACTTTAACTTACTAAATTAACGGAATTATTATCTGTTATCTGTGATCTGATCTGTGATTTCATTTGTAGTCTTAATTTATCTAAAATTTTTACTGCAAAATTTTTGCTACACTCTGATCCGGATATTTTTAAATAGATCCGGTATCACTGTGCCTTATCGATATCATATTTAATTCAGATTCCATTTCAATTAATTTTAGGTTGAACTATTTGATGGCGGGATTGAGTCCCATGTGGTATCACGTCACGAATGTCGCCTTACACGCTGCTGCGTGCATCTTAGTCACCAGAGTGAGTCTCGTGGTAGCTGCACTTCGGCCGGGATTCGCAGCGCTCGCTGGGTTGCTATTCGCCGCACATCCTGTACACACGGAAGCGGTAAGTGATAACTGTCAAGGTGTCCTAAGAAAAAATGAAAGCATTTTGCCAAATATAAATCTTTTGAGCGAAGTAGGATTGTTATCCACAAACGCTTTAGTCGACGCTTTAGCCATTCGCTGTTCTATAATTTTGTTTGTTTACCGTTAGCTAATATGCAATAGCATATTCGCGAACATGTACTTACGCGTTGCACGATTCACAGCACAATGACAAATTCATCCTAAACCAAACAAAACAACAAGATTAGTAGAGTCCACTCGCCACGTAACCGCTCGATTCTGCGTACGCGAATAGAGTCTGGCTGATCCGCTTTTCCTAAGTGCATAAACGTAATTAGCCTAATCTTATTATGGCTATGATCGTGACGGACAGAATTTGAAGTGTTCGTTCATGTTGCTGAAGAGAGGATGAAAGAGGGAGAGGGAGGGAGGGAGGGAGCGCGGGGTGAGAGAGGGAAGGGGGTTGATTGTTGCTACAACGAAACAAGATGGACTTGTTTTGTTGTAATTAGGGTTACCAACTCTCGGTTAGGTTAGGTTAGTTGGTTGCACAAAAAGAGCACATCGATTGGCAAAAAGCATACATTTTCTAAAGAAAGATAAGATAAAAATGTAAAAAAGAGGTTTTCTGTTTTAAAATCCGATATTCAATAAAATAATATTTCTAAGATGTAATTTTTATTGACAACTTTTATTCAAAGTTACAAATAAATATATTTACTTAAATTTTATTAAAACTTTACTTTCTAACCAGATTTTTTGTTAAGTAGGGATGCTGGAGCCTGTATTACGGATAAAATCACCGTTTTTGACGGTTTTGTTCTTATCCAATTTCTTCGTAATAGTTTCACAAAATAAAAATTCCTATTCCACGATTAAAATATATATTCTAATGTATGTGCCCTTGGTGTATATCGTGTCCAAAGCTGTAAAAAATAAAAAAGTTACAGATATTTTTATTTATTTTTATCTCACTATGGCGATCAATGTTGAAGGTAAAAATGGATAACGAAATCCGTAATTTTTTATGTTTTCCAGCTTTGATCACGAAATACACCAAGGACAAGTACATTGGCATGTATATTTTAATCGTGGAAAAGGAATTTTTATTTTGTGAAACTTACGAAGAAATTGGATAGGAACGAAAACGTCAAAAATTATCGGTATAATAATTTTATCGATAATACGGCGGTTTCAGCATTTCCTGTCAATAGAACTGAAAAAATAAAATTAATTCATGTATGCAATGTATATTGCAACTTTAAGTTTTTTTTAAATTAATATGTATATAATTAAATCTCTAACAAAATCTTTATATAATATATAAATAAACATTTATATATTACATATTGCTCCAAAGCGAACACACAGCCTTAGTACAAACAAAGAGAAATCTTATGAGAGTGGACAACCCGGTCTTTTTCATGTATCAAACTTCGTAAAGAAATGTCCACGTTTTTGTTCTTTTTTATGCTATTACATGCATAAGACAAGGATGAATAATCAAAGTTAATTGTTCATCCTTGTCTAACCTTTCTCTTTAGTACAAGTCAAGCAAAACTTTTTTTGTAAAATATTAAATTTAAATATTAACTATTATTTTTTAAAATTTTGTCTCATTTTTCGAGAAAAAGTACAATAAGTGAAAAATAAGAGGACGCTGTTTTTCGATCTTGAAAGAAAAGTACATGTACTCTTTTAAGAAAGAGTACGGTTGGTAACCCTTAATTGTATACGTAATCAACGTTGACGCTTATCAGTCATAAGAGAAATAATTAGTGCGCGCGTTACTTTACGTAAAAATCTTAAATTTTCTTTAGAACTATATATAAATTGGAGAAATAGTATTAGAGTTCCATCAAGTATTTCTGCACGGCATCAGAGAAAATGATAAACTTCGTCGTTAATAATATTACCCTACTTAACCCGCTTTACTTAAGCATATAACTATAAAGCTTTGTCCGCCGTTATTGCACAAATTATGTTATTATGTATGGAAATGGAAGTTTATAGAGCGTTAGATTAGGAAGTTGAGAAACGGCATGGAACAATACGTCGGTGATTATAATGCGTTCGTTGAACGTTGAAGTTTACATAAATGGAGAGAAACTCTCCCTATATTCTGCAGACAATCACTGAAAGATCATATAGCTGTCGATATTTATATATCGATTTCAAGTTCTTTATTCCTACATTAAATTGCACTAGTCATTTTTTCTCGCTTTCGCCAAATATAAAAACATATATCTTTTATATTTTACTTTCTATTTCACTTGAAGTTCCAAAAATTATGTTTAATTATAGAAAATAGATCTATTTTTTCAATATAATTATTTAAAAATGTAAAGGAGGATGTCAAGTTAGTACTGTTTCTCAACTAAAATGAAAAAGTTCTAACTAAGATGTACAAATTATGTATCATATTACAGGACTTAAGCAAAAAAGTCAAATGTATCACTTAATCTTAGGAAAATATCAGGAACATGAAAGGAATCATGATAAAAAGTCCGTGAAGCTAATATATTGTCACATTTATTAATAAAAAATTATTAACTGAGATGTTAAAATATTCCGAGAATGAAACAAGAAATATTGTTATTGTTTAAATACATATAATTTAAAAGAAAATGTATATTTTCAAGCGATTGACAAACGACAAAGAGTCCAATGCAAAATAATCGCTTGGTTTCGAATTCTAGTTTTGAATTTGAATAAAAAACATGCTTATCAAGTTATCATGTTTAAATAATAACAATACAGTTTTTAGAAAATTTATACACCACTTGAAACGCTGATACTGTACATCGAGATTCGTTAAGATCATTAGATAATTCATTAAAGATGACTAAAAGTTAAGTTGAAACGTTTGAAGAATTGACAAAATTAATCACATTTGCGCATCCCATCTTTATGTAACATTGCGAGTTATTTTTTAGAATAAATATTTGATAATCGTACTAATAACTGCGTTGACTCCCATTGCTTTTTTTTGTATTCCGTGTGTAATACAGTTTTTGTTGCTTAATTCGCGAAAAAAAAAAAATAATAATATATGATATCTTATTTAACAATTGTTAATTTTATTGTTTTTGATAGCGTCCCGTTCGGATTTAGCGTTAAACTGGTAGGTCCCATGTATCAGTGGATAGATGTATCGACCTCAGGTAAGAGGTTGGACATTAGGCTAACCACCTAATTCTACAAAAAATCCATTGTTATGGAAATCTAATGAAAGGTAGATTTTGGTTTACCGTAAACTGTAATGCCGCGAAAGAAGAATATTGTTTTTGATAAGGATTTCTACCAGTTTCCGATGTTTTCCCGAGATAAGCGATATATCATTCAACTCTGCTTAAATTGAATTTTAATTTATGATGTATCAATTGATATATATTATAATTTGTACATCTTGAAACTTTTTTATTTTAGTCGAAAAACAGTCCTAACTTAATATCTTCCTTTTTAGGAGTGAAATTTCACTTCAAGAAAAGTAATAGTTGCGCCAGTTCAGTAAAAATAAATTTCACTTCATTTCTTCAAGTGAATTTCCCAAAAGGTCAACTTTGCCGATTAATATTTCGCTTCGCGAAGCAGAGCGACGCTTTTTTTGTCAGATTCATTTTGTGCAATAACACAATCGAATGGGTTTAATTTCGTCAAGAATGAAAGGGACTAAACTTATATTTACTTTTTTTTTAGAGAATGAAATTATTCACTTTCTACAGAAATTAAAAATTGACTCTTACTTGAAGTGATACTTCATTTTCTAAGAGTGAAAAGTGCTGGACTGGTGCAAGTACCACTCTTAAGGAGTAAAATTTCATTTTCACACAAGATTTAGAGTGTAGTCACGTAGTGTACATGGTTTTTATTTTTCAAATTGATATTAAGTATACAGAACTCAAATTTATTCGCGATTTAACGAATCACGGAAGTAATACAGCATGATCAATAATTTTTTGTAATTATGAATAAGCAATCATAAGAAGAATGTATAGGAAATAGATTGTATAGATATTCAGATAAAGGCGAATTCCGCGTTATTAGTACGGAATCGTGCCTTTTGAGCGGAATTACTGGCGGCACACGACACTGGTTCGCAAGTCCCGGTCTGCCCATTACAAGCTCGACCTGCTTGCCGGTCACGCACTGCATCCTGTTACATCACGTGCGTGCGGTATTGCATGTATTACTCGTTGCGTGCGCGGCCAACCCTCGTTGCCAGTGTCACTATTGTGATATCATGTTCATGTCGTACGCGGACGGCCAAGTCAGATATATAATAATGTGTACTCAGATCAAATACTCTACCATCCGTGATTATTTTTGCACGGAGCTGTAAAATATCCCACAATCACATCTCTCATGCAGCGTCACTTTTTCCTACATTACTACTGCATGTAACATTTTTATCGTTTTTAATTGTTGCGTCAGATAGAATCTGACTGCAGAATCAGATTTCGTAAACATCTGATTCTGACCGAGAATAATCAGTGCCATTCCCAGATTTCCCATTTGGAAACAATAGCAAGAGCGTCATATGCCGCGGCACATATATATTTCAACTGATTTCGAAATGTTAACGATCCACTGATGCAAACTATTTTTATATTCATATTAAATGTTAAAATATTTTTACATCAGTTAGTCATTATTTTGCCTCTATCACGTCACATAGAATTGGCACAAAATTTTTCACACGATATCATTAAAAGTTCTCATGCTTTTTGGGTTTATACACTTCTGTCACGAAACGTTTATTAGCTCGATATTAGTAAATTATACCATGTCGTGTGTGGTATCAAATTTACACGAGGATCGGAAATCTTTCACCTCATTCGGGAAACATGATACTAAATAATTCGCTATAGTTTTAACCTCTGATTTATTGGCTCTTGTTTCGCCATATAATACAATCTGTTATCACATCTTTGTTTTGACGGCAATCGCTGATTTTCTGTCAGTCAAATAAGTTAACAGTTTGATTCTATTTGTTGA